GGCCATAAGCCCCTTCCTTACTTTGGTGAGAAAGTCCTCTATAAGAGGCCCATCCTTCCGGGAAACTTGAAGCCATGGGATCCCTGGGCTCAGGGTAGGTACCTCGGGCCCTCTCTGTCGGTGCCTGACGGGCATTCAGTTCTAAAGGAGGATGGCAACACTACCATAGTGAAGAACCTCAGAGCCGAGCTTGTTGACCCGGAGGCCAGATTGGCCGAAATGCAACGTGAAAGGGATTTGGCTGACGTCGCAAGTGACGCGGCCCCTTCTGAACCAGGTCTAGACCTTCAGCTTCCGGAGGTTCTTGAAGCCGAGGGCCCGCCGTCTTCAGATCCCCCTCTTCCAAGGAGGGTGTCCAGCAAGAGGCCTCCTAGGATAGCTGCTCTCCGAGAGCGTGATCTTGGCGAAGAGGAGGATGAGGAGGAAGAAGATGAGGAGGAGGACGATGAGGTCAGTGACACCGAAGCCACCAGTGAGAGGGCGACTCTGGGTGCTATTTCCGAGGCCCAAGTGTCGTCTCTAGGCCAGGCGTCTTCATCCAGCTCCTCAGGTTTCCCTTCGCACATTGGTCCCGTGACGGACCCGACACTGGTGAGAGCCCTCGCCCGCCTAGGTCTGGAAGGCAAGGCAGTAGGACTGCACAACCTTGGGGTCCACGAGGTCGGGGATTTGAATTTCATTTTCAGGGCCGACTTGGTAGAAGAGGGCTGGACCGAACACGAAGCGACTGTGTTCTTTCATGAGTGTGGGCTCATAGCCCCCCAGCAGAGGCCCGACAATCCACGCAAGGCATCTCAGGTTGAAGGTGGCGTTCGCCCCGTGGGCCCAACAGGCGAGGCTATGACGCTAGGGGCCATTGCAAGGGCAAGAGCACGAGCCAGGGAAGGCGGGGCTCCAGGGGGCCCAGAAGCTCCATCTGAGCATGGTGCAACAGCGGGGTCAAGTGAACCTCCGGACCCGCCGTATAATCCCCGTGTTACGAGAGCCATCCTCGAGCAGCTCCCAGCAGCCTTCTATGATGAGGTCACGGTGAATGGGCCTATTTCAAGGGACCTTCTTTCTCGTGTGGAGGAGGCGGCCCATGACGCGGATCTGACGTGCCTTCCGCGGGATGAGACTTACGCCGACAATAGGTTTCAAGGTGTTCTACGCACGTTCAAGTGCAACCCCAATGGGGTAACCCCCATCGTAGGCCGTCTTATGTTGAGGAAGGTGGCAAGATGGAGGAAGGACACGTTTGGGTTTGTCCCATTGTGTGAGGAGCCAGGTACCCCACCGGACCTGGAACAAGAGGCGACCGTCATGCTCCAGGATGAAGGAGGTGTGCCGCTACGCGAGGCTGAGCGCCTCGTGAGGTATCTTCCCTTTGAGGATCCTCACCCCGCCATAGGCAAAGGAAACCAGGAGGAGACCACTGGAGGCAAGGCCTTTTACTCTGGTGCAATGTGTCGTGGCGGTATCTCCGCACTCCGCCACAGCTGCCGAGTGAACCCGCAGGTCGTCAGGTGCCTCACCAGCATCCTCCGGAGGGCCTTTCCCGGAGCTGTGTTTAGCTCTCTGGCGGTGTTTGAAGATACCAAGGCTGAGCCCCACCGGGACGCCAGGAATGAAGACCAGCCGAATCTATTGGTAGGTCTCACAAGGTTTGGAGGCGGCGAGGTGTGGGAGCAGCATGATCTGGGAAATGTTGAAAAGGAGGTGAA